ATCTCCCATCTCAGCACTTGCTTAGTCCTTCCGTCTTCTGAATTCACCATACTCCATCTTTGGGTTTGGCTCCAACATCACGTCCTTCACGTGGTTCATCTAGCGTACCTAGATGAGATGCAAGATGCAAGTGCATGAATATGAAGAATGGTCACATCATATTGTTTTAAGCACTAGTGAGCAAGTCATTCAACTAAGTAACTAGGGCTATATAATTTAGAGCATGCACCAGCAACATCAAGAATGGGAAATCAACTTAAGTGCATACACAAAATTTAGACAATAGTACAACAGTCGCGTGTTTTAACCATAATTGGAGTTATAATCATTTAATATAAGTGATCTTGGACTTTCTGGAAAGCTAATGAAATTGTCTACAACTTTGTTATTCATTCCAAAAGCAAACTCACAGGTTAACATGATCAATTATGCCAATATCTCAGGTCAGTACCGATAAGGATAGAAAACTAACAATAACTTCAGAAATGTATAACTAGAGTTCTAATCATCCAACAAGCATGATCCTTAACTTTATAGAAATCTTATTAAGTTATATACAACTTTCTTATTATCATCTTTAGGTAATTGAACAGTTATTTGGCCTTAAACACACAAAGCAACAATTCTATCCAAAACATGGACAGAATCTCACATGCAACTTCAGACAGTAATAAGTTGAGTTCTAGCTTTCACAACAATGTGGTTCTAGACTTTTTAGAAATATTAACAAACCATGCACAACTTTGTTATAAACACCACAAGCTAATTCCAAAGTTAACTAGGTCAAACATCACAAAGAAGACATCTCTATCCAGATTAGGACATAATCTGTCACTCCACTTCACAAGCTCATAACTAGAGATTTAGACCACCAAAAGGGGTGATCTTTAACAATTTGGAAAGCTCATGAAAATCACTACACTTATCTATTATCACCAATACATGATTCTATGTTTAAATGAGCCAAACAATACAATCATTCAGATCTATTTAGAGGACATGCGAAAACCTAACAGCAAATTTTTAAAATCTATAACTTCTAAATTATCAGAACTATAGTCATGAAAAGTTAACCAAGCTAGATTATGAAGTTACATACAACTTTGGTATTCACCATATTCACAGAAAACATCATTTGCATCATCAAACAAATTGCACAACCAAAACTATATATGCAGCAATTTTAGAATATAACAATTTGATGTTTCACTTGAGCACTCAAACATCACCAATTACATTTTCAAGCTTCATCTACGTTTATGCTTCTATTACCCCTTTCTCCTAATAATCCTATAAATATATTTTAGTGATATATGAGAACAACTAGTTTGGGGCTGAGATTTTTATTAGTGGTAAATGTTATTAAAACATGGCTACTGCACAAATTTCACATGCTCAGGTTTTATAGATTAATTACTACAAAAAAGACAAATTGCTATTGCAAGAAAACATGTAAAAGCAAGATAAATCTAAAGATCATTATTTTCTATAAACACATAGCCATATTGTATGTTATTATGGTAGAAAAACATCATACAAAGGTAGTGGAACCACATTTTCCATTTTTACACCTACATAAAAACTATAACTTATTTAAAACCATTTATCAAGCATTAATCAAGTTAAATCAATAACTCAACCATAATGCATATAATAAACATGAAATTTTTACCACAGCACACATATAGCATTAGTAGCCTACCATAAAAAATTCACAGCAATTGGAGGGCCACAACTTTATATATGAAAATAACAAGCAAAACAAGCTAAAATTGCCTATTTACAAGGATTAAATCAAAACATGATAAAAACTATACACAACTAGCATGTTTAATATTTTTCTTAGCTAGAGAGTGTCATCACAAGACTGACACAACTAGAATCATAATTTTTGGACTTCTATAATTCAAGATATGCATCTAACCAACTTAAAAGCATTTCTAAAAGCATCTTGCAAGAATAAATAAAAACATCAGAAACTTTCTACTAACACATATCATATTATGACTCTATTGTATATATCTACTCACAAGGATTCCAAAAAGTCCTCATTTGCTATTTTTGGATTTTTCTACAATTTACTATGATTTTCCAAAGTTTTAGCCAATTAAAAGGAATAAAGAAAAAACACATTTGCACAGAGGACCCTGCAAGAAACTTTAATTAAACCAAGCAAACAAGTCCTAATAACACTATTTGTATGAGTCTTGGATTTTGCACTTAACCCCCTAGAAGACTCCCTATTTACGCTAGAAGCTCCCTCCTCTTCTTCACCCGGCCGGAAGCAGGGCAGCTTGCCGGAGCTCGTGATTTCGGCCGCCGTGGTGCTCGTCGGTGGCGAAGGAGGGGTCTCGGAGCATCAACATGCCCAGCCGCACCTGTAGGAGGTCTAATCGTAGACGGAGACGGCCGGTGGAGGATCGGCCACGTGAGCCAGCGACGGTCGCGACAACCTCGTCGGCCGCAGGCGCGCACGGTGGTGGAGGCGTTCGGAGGAGAGGCGCGACGCGCATGGGGCGGCTCGAGGAACACGAAGGCGAGGCCTATTGGGACGGATGAGGCTCGTAGCAGTGGCCGTGAGCTTGGCTTGGGAGCCGGCCATGATGGTGGCGGCGGCAGGCTCCAGCGGCGCCAGCTAGGGCGAGCGCGTGCGCGAGGTGGAACATGCCATCGCGAAGGCGGTGGTGGTGGTCGCGAGAGTGGAGGCGCAGAGGGTATGGGAGGCGCGGGCGGTGTCGAGCTTTGCTCCGGCGTCTATGGCGGGCGTGGCCGCGAGAAACAGCAGCAGCAGCGCTAGCGAGAGAGCGACATGCTGCGGCGAAGCAGGCGACCACAAAGCTGTGTAGAGGAGGAGGAGAGGGAGCAGTGCCTGTGGCAGCAGCTCAGGCTCTGCCCGATGGCTCACCATGGCAGCAGTGCCCATGGAGGAGTGGCAGCGATGGCGAGAGTGAGAGAAAGGGAAGAGAGGGCGAACGCAGAGTGGAGCTCGGTGCGGGATAGCGTCTGGCGGCAGCGTGGCTTAGGCATGGCGTCCCCGATGCGTGGAGCAGGGTGAGGTGCTCAGCTCGAGCATGGAGGCCATGTCCTGGACACGTGTTGCCCTTTGAGACAATTTCCTGAACAGGTGGCAGTCAGCGACGTGGGTAAGGTGGGCGCCATTTTTGGGCCAGCTACGGGCCGATTTGGACCTTGGTTCCAAAAGCAAAGTTGCAGCCCACCTAATGATCTACAAAACTCATTAAGGGTGCCTGTCCATTAGAGCTCTCCATTAGCGCCTAATTAAGCCGAAGTTGACAGTGTCAGCGACTAATCGAGGATTAAGCCCCTCTCTGCTTGAGCTTGAATTACATGGTCAAAACATGGTCAAATTTATTCCAACTTTTTGTATGTCCTTCTCCGAAACATATATTCCAACTTTTATATTTGGCTCAACTTGATTTGCTTAACAAAAATCCAAGAACGTGAAACGGCAATGTCAATGACGATGAATTCCGGACTTAGAATTATTTAGAGCCCATAAACAGCAGCCGATTCCATCTTGAGTCCTCTGTTTGAGCCACTTAGGAGTTGAATTAGGTCTTGGTCCAAAAATAAAGTTTGTTTTACTCCACTCAAACTTCAACTTTTATTAAAGGTCCAACTTCATATCTGGTACAAAAACCATTTCTTCATCTTGGTCAAAGCAACATCTCGTTAAACCCAGGAATTTGGGTTTTCGACCAATTGAGCCTTTTCTTGACATTTTCTCAACACGAACCCTCCATGACTTTTGTTGTAGAGTTCAATTAGAGTCAGTTGAGCAAGGTAGCAAGGTTTGGTCGACATCTCACATTCCCATTTACTAAATAAAGCAATCTAAGAAAGATTATAACTTATCATTTCATTTGACTTCTTGATTCCAAACTTCATGAAACTTTTCCATCGATCAAGATGGATGTCTGTTGATGTAATGTACATGAAATAAGCATGTTTAACATTACTCTTGCATAATCTTAACAAGGGTACATATGTAAGTAAGGGTGTGTTGTTCAAGTTTAAGTTGGAGCTCACTCTTATAGATTTGATCTTGAAACCTTCATCACCACTTAACATGTCATGTTTGAGCTCAAACCCATTGCTTAACTGGTGACAAACACCTGGGGTGTTACACTCCTGGTAGGCGCCCCCGAGGAACATGCCTAGGTAGTAGCCGCGGGTGGCGTGGGTGGGGAGCTCGTGCAGCGGCAGGCCGTGCCTCCCGCCGATGAACTCGCTCACCTTGTGGTCGCTATCGCAGGTGAGGTCCGAGAGGACACCATCGATGGCGGGGCGCTCCTATAGGCGCTAGATCGAGATGATGGGGAACTGCTGCCCGATGGCCCACATGTCCGGCAGGGAGGTGAACACGGACAGGTTGATGTGGTAGGTGCACGGCGGCTCAGGCACGCCCATGCCACGAGCGACGAGCTAGCAAAAGGCGTCCACCATGGCCAGGTGCTCCAGGCCAAGAACCCCCTCCTTGAACTACTCGGCAGAGCACCACTTCAGCTGGTCCGCATATAGGCCGTAGGTGTCGTAGTCACCGCGCATGGTGGTGGTCATGACATTACGGTAGTCGGAGCGGCAGTCATCGGTGAGCTCGTCGAGGAGGTAGGCTGTGGCCGTGTCCAGGTAGCCGGGTGCCGTAGCCGAGAAGGCCTCGAACACCAGCACCGAGTGGTGGGACACCAGTGTGTGGCCGCTCTCGCTACAGATGATGGGGTGCTACACCCCCTTGCGGTCATAGACGTGGCCAACGGTGGCCACCATGGCCGCCGCGTACTCCTCTAGGTTGTACGCCACTGACATGTCGGTCTGCGCGGCGTGAGTTCCATCGTAGTCAATGCCGAGTCCACCGCCTCGTTGATGTGCATGTCCGCACCAAGGCAGGCGAGCTCGCAGTAGATCTACGCGGCCTCGCTGATGTCGTTAGAGAGCAGGGCGGTGGTCGTGATCTGGGAGCCAATGTGGAAGTACAGCAGCTAGAGGTAGTCGAGCATAGCAATGGCCTTGAGCTTGGTGACCACGGATAGTATCTGCGTGGCGTTGAGGCCGAACTTGCCCTTCTCCCCGGACATGGAGCCGAAGTCGTCGATGTGCTTGGTGCGCAGCTTGGCGCGCATGTCGACGACAGGGCGCACGCCGAGGCGGCAGCTGGCGTCGACGACAATGTCGAGCTCCTCCTCCTGCTCAAGCATGATGATGGTGTTGAGGCCCATGGAGCGCGCCATGAGCGTGAGCGAGACGTAGCCATTGTCCTTGTAGCCGTTGCAGATGAGCAGGGTGTCCGAGTTGCCGTGCACGGCGAGGCAGCTCATGGAGAGCAGCAGCACGGTAGGTGCGGGAGGCGGAGAGGGTGGCGGGGATAGGAAACAGAAAAAAAAAGAAAGGGAGAGAGGAAGAAGAAAGTGGTAGGGACAAGAATGTCATTTCACCGCTGTTCTCTCTCCTCAACCGGCTGCAACCGGTCCGCGGTGTCCTATGGCCTAGTTTCACCGAACCAGAGTGTCTTCTGGCAAAATACTCCAAAGTGGGTGTCCGCCAGCAAAGGACCATCACTTTGGATGTCCAATAGACAATTATCCCTTTTTCTTTAGACCATGCGTAGGACCATGCAAGGGCCTAAATAAAAGTGTGGCAATACAACAATTATTTGCAATGAAATATATTTCAATATACCAACCGTGGCAATACGTCTCAGTTGACTCGCGTGATGCACGGCGTTGTGCAGTGGCCCTCGGTGGCATGGGGGAGCGTGGGGGGAGGGCGTGCGACGGCCGTGGCATGGGGGGAGGGTGCGACGACACCTGCAGCTGTTGGTGTGAGCCGGCACATGGCTTAGCGAGCACTAGGTATGCCATGCGTTGATCATTTCCTAAGCCAAGGCACTTGTGGCCCAATAGCGACTATGTACCGCATCAAAACAATTATGAACCGATACAATAAAAATTACATATTGCATCAGAGTTTAGCACTATCAATCCATTGCAATAGTACTTCCTAATTGCACCCATATTATGAACCGATGCAATACCACCTACATATTGCATCAAAAATCAATGCTAACACAACAAAATTTGTCGGATGCAATAATTTCTACCAATTGCATCTTGGGAACGAAATCAGTGAGATAGGCCATACCTATTGCATCGACATGAATTACTATCACATCAAATTTATTGCCGATGCAATAATACCCACCTATTGCATCAGATTTGCAAAATTGATGCAATAGCAACCACCTATTGCATCATATTTGCGTTTGATGTAAGGCAAAGCGATGCGATAGGGTCAAAAATTAGTAGTGTGCTAAGTTATCATCCCCAGCTATGATGCCAGAAATGCTTGTTGATATTACTTAGCATCACTTCTAGAATGATACTAAGAAGTGCTTTAATATTTTATGTGACTAGAAAGAATATATAAATGAAAGGGATCTGCAAGCGCACAAATTATATACCATTGTAGCACTTCATCCGGGAGTATTCCAGGTATCGTTATTTATATTTTTACCATAGGGAAGGACGGGTATATGGAATATATTGATAACTTATACATATGATGGAGAAATAAACCATAACCATTACTCTACTCACAACAGGGGTAAGTTAAGAGATAAATATGATAAATAATGATAAATGATCACTCAGAGTATTCCTTTCTATGGCATTAGCATTGCTAAGTAAAAATGAGAGGAATAATTCCTAAGTCATTCTTAGTTACAAGTCAAAACATACGTTGATTAGTGCAATTACACTTAGTAGTCATGGCTAAGATCAACTTCATATCTACACATATGGGATATTACTAAGGAAGATTAAGAATAGAGCTTGTCTTCCTTCTTAACTAGATCCTACCTATCCTATATTCGGGGAGTGGATTACAAAGGACTCAACGGGAGTGTCACATCCGCGATCTACCACATGGCCCGAAATATAGGGTGCATCCGTAGGTAAACAACGTATAAGCACCATGCTTACACAATGTCGACCACTCACCCCATACATTAGAACGAGCGCTATACAAACTTATGCTTAAATATAATGATAATCTAGCTATACTAAGCATATAATCAAAGTAAACGATGAACATGATAACTAGGAACATGAATAATAGTAAGAACAATGTCGAATCAATTGTAGCAAACATATGAATAATGAAAGATACAAAAGAGGATACAAGGGGCTATACCAAGCCACGCTTCTTGACACGATCAGGAATCCAAGCGAAGCTTGCCTCCCTCTAGATCTAGCCTAGCTAGCTATGCCCTAGAATATGGTGGAGCTCTGAGGATGATTAGGGTTTCTTAATCTCTTGAATGACTTATTGAATGATGGAGGATACCCTAGGGGTGGCAGGGGCTGATATATATAGGGAGGAGCGTCAATCCTGAGCCCTCGGATCAAACCGACTTGAAAGAAATGCGTAGATGAAAACCCTAAGGTGGTGGAGAATCGACATTTGAAGGAGGGGGCTGATAGGTGGGCCAGGGGGCCGGCCGGCCCCACCTAGCTGCCTCTCGCCCTCTGCCGTAGTGTGGTGTCCTCTAGAGTCTTCTAGATCCTTCTGGTGTCTGTCTCGTTGCGGATAAGCGCAATTAATTCTAACATATAGGTCCACCTTGATGGTTTTCTGAATAAACCTGCTGAAAACACAAATTCACCAAAACTCATGGAATTTGTTAGTTTAAACCCCTAAACCTATGTTGGTGATCATATTCATGCTCTTATACAAGTTATATTGATGGTTCATGATGGTTGTTAACTACCATCAATAGCTACTAATTCGAAGGATGCACTAATTATATTTATTTGTGCTTAGCAAGCAGGAGTGCCACATGGGAGGAGCACAGCTATGTCATTTTGTTATGTAAGTCTGTAGAGAGTAGTACCTTTAGTTTGTAATCTATGTCCCGCTTGTGTTAGGACATCAGTTGACAAAGATATTATGGTAAGTGTCCATTATTATTGTAAGAAAATAGTTGATGGATGCAAGGATTATATCTGTATGTTTTGTGTTTAATAAGCAATTAAGGGTCATTTATTGTTTTGTTATCACCACCGTCATTGGTGGTGTAAATGTCCAACACCATCGCTATATGTATTATGTGGCAGGGATCAAAAGTGTATCACTGCCGAATCATTTAGTAACCCGACACCGAATAAACGATCATCAAAGGCGGATAGCGGTGCAAGGCGGCGGTGACCATGACCATTGTACTGGCGGTTATACGCTGAAGCGATGGTGGTGTTAACCTCTACACAGACGTCTCCGTCGTCAAAGTGACAGTGAAACTGTACCGTAGACAGTCAGGTCGAAGTACAAGGCGACGGTGCTGGTGACCACTACATGGGCGGTTGATGTGCCCACACGACGGTGATGATAGCCTCGACACAGGCGGATCGTTTGGCAATACGACGGTGTTAGTGCATACCCACAGACGGGTCGTGCTCTAATGCGATGGAAGTAAGGACCTTATCACGAACGGATGATAAGCCAATACGGCGGTGTAGTCTACACCATAGTCGGTCTCAGATGACGGTGGTGATGGCTATGACTCTCACTGTCGACAACTTACTGCCATGGCTAAAATTGTATTGCGATGGGGGTTACGACGCGGCTGTGAAATGTCCGAGTATAGTAGTGCCTAAAACCATAGTAATCCATCTCAACCTCTACCTACTCTATCCTTGTATTGTCCTTGGACAAACAAGCTAGAAGAGTACATCTGTTCTCTATGGAAAATACGATACCCTGAATACTTCTGGATAAAGTGCTACAACGGTAATTTCGTGCGTTTACGGATTCTAAGTGGTTTTATATTTTTTTCCAAAGTTGACTTGTAGTGGGTACCATGAAATAAGAATGAAACTAGGAGATAAACAAAAACTGCTTTTAAAACTAAGGTTAACTTATATGAGTGGTTAGTAAAGCCTTTTGGGTTGACTGATGCACCTAGTACTTTCATGCAATAATGAACAAGGTTTTATATCCTTTCATTGGTAAATTTGTGGTGGTTTATTTTGATGATATCTTGATATATAAGGAAAAAAAGTTATAACTTAAAACAGAGATTGGATCTATAGGGTTGGAAACGGATCGAATTCGTAGGGAATCCAATCCCGATATCACCTTTGACCATATTTTAATTTGAATTCAAATACGGATACAGATATTTTTTTAATACGGGTACAACGGATTCGGATTTATATTCAGAGACTCAACTCAAAGTGTATATTGTTAAATTCAACATACATTAATAGAATTTTACTACTAAGTTCATCGATAACATAAATGAAATAAAATCAAAATATACATCACCAACATCAAAGTTAACTAAAATGTTCTTTGGTTACAAAATTATTACACAAGTAGAGATTGAAATATGTGGATATTATAACGATAGACAAGGATAGCTCACCAAAAATGATATAGTTATCAACAAATATTTAATAACTAAATATATCAATTAATCAACCATTATTTATATAATATTTATCATGATATTATAAATTATATAAAAAATACATTAGTATAAGTAAAAGTATTAAAATAACTTACAAGTTGCATTAAATTAGAAAAATACTAAACTAATTGAATCTTATGTATCATTAATAATATTAAATTAATATTAAAAAATACTTATAGATATACTATTAAGTAGTTTCAATACATCATTAGTAATATTAAATTTTACTAGTTGTGGAGAGAAAACTTTTAAATAGATCCATTATATCTTATTCTTCGCGAATATGGATAAATGTTAGATATTCTCTATTTTTTTTAATACAGAAGATAGAGAAAAATACTAAAATATAAATTTGAAATATTTCATTATCATTCAAGTTAGAAACGGATATCAATACGATGTAATCGTAAGATAATTTAGGTATCTTTCTATTTTCTATCCCTGTGGATCTGTGAAGAGGATTGGCCCCGCCTCTCCTTGCTGCCAGCGAGGACGCCAGAGACAAAGGGGGCAAAGCGGCAGCGGCGCTAGAGATTTCCGAGACCCATGTGGTCGCGAGCAGATAAGGTCCACGGCGTCACGTCATTGTCTCCCATATTCATATTATATCTCATATTTTTAATTAAATCTTAGAACCGGATACAGATTATTCAAATATTGATATTTATCTCACATACATATCAGAAAACTAATTTAGAGTATTCCAATTCAGTATATTAAATGAGATTCAAATACAGACTATCCAAATAGTGTTTTGATTCTTTCAGGGTGCACGGATATTAGAAAAAATCTGTTCCTTTTTCATCCCTAGTCACCTCCTCACCCACACCCACACCCACCCACACCCACACTAGGGATGAGCTGTGCTGATTCCGATGAGCCTATTCACGGCATACAGTTGCACTAGCGTGAACGGGTCACAGAAAAATCAAACAAATATAACTTCGTTTCACAGAAAAATCAAACAAATATATACTACTTCGGAAGTTGTAAGAAACAAGTGAAAGGTAATGTCAACAGAATAAATTCTGTACTACTGCTAGAGGCATCTATGTGATCGAAGGCAAACGGCTGTAACAAGGAACACAACAAAGAGATACATCAAAAGCGAAAATGGTACTCCCTCCATCCCAAATTGTAAGTCATTCCAAGAATCTTAGAGAGTTAAACTTTTTCAAGTTTGACTAAAATTATAGAAAGAAACACAAAGATTGATGACATCAAATAAGTATAATATGAAAATATAACTAATGAAGAATCTAATGATACTTACTTGGTATGATAAATATTATTATTTTATTATATAAATTTGGTCAAACTTAAAAAACTTTGACTCTCCAAGATTCTTGTAATGACTTACAATTTGGGATAGAGGGAGTATAAGTTAATATTTGTCCTTGGCTCCCAGTCCCCGTAACTTCGGTCGCCTTACTGCGGTCAAGGGGGTGGCAATGCCCTGGCCATCCTTCCCCAGTCCAGACCCTGGGACAAACCCCATTTTCACCATCATTTTGGATCCAAAACCCTTGGTGTGTCTCTCGAAGAGCCAACGCCACTCATCTCTGGTGCCCACACATTCCGCCTCAGCTCTGACCTCACCTTGCCTGGCTCTGATATTAATTTGATGGGTTCTGTCCTTGCTTTAATTGCCTCAGCCTCACTGTCGAATTGTACGCCGAGTCCAAGAGATTTGGGACGATTGATGGCTTGTATCGGCTGCACTATACCTTGGCCATCTTTGCCAAGGCCAGTGCCCTCGATGAATCCCATTTTGGCCATCATCTTCGAACCAAAGCCCTTGGTGTGCACCTCAAAGGAGCCTAGCTGGGCGTGCCTATTTTGGCCAGTGACCTCACTTTCAGCAGCTTTAACACATAAGTTATCACCACCAATTGAGTCAACAGCTATTGCCTCCGTAAGGGAATCCGCCATGGTGCCAGACTTGACAAAAGATACAGGACGCTCTGCAAAGGAGACCTGTTTCTTGGAAGATTTATTTCCATTGGATTCTCGATGTTTTACAAACTTTCCTGGAGCTGAAAGGCCCTTCCGTCCTGCTGGGCCTTTAGAGTTCTCCCAGTTGACAGAGAAGTCCTCAGGTTCAGTCCCCAAAAGCTGAAATCAATGAAGCAAAGTGGTTAGATAACACTGAAACAATTAGAAGTAGCGAGAAGATCAGCATCAAGAAGGGGGATAAAGCAATAGTGGCATCTTTCGAAACACAAAAATGGCATGATACAGTTTGTTCATTAATTAAAGCTTTCAAGTTATATGATACAATTGGGGCTGGACCAAAAGCTCGTTGAGCTGGCTCTGTAACTTGTTTCAAAATTGTTCCGATTAAACTCGTTTTTCATTTAAAATAAAACAGACATGATTTTTTTCGCAAAAAAAAAAAAGACATGATTTCGAATGACTTTGGATTTCAGCTCAGCTCATTACAACAACAACAAAGCCTTTTTCAGCTCAGCTCATTAAGCTCAGTTTAAAGTTGGGTCTCAAATAAATCAGGAGACTGATAAATAAGATTACGTCAATTTCAACGAAAGCTCGAAAAAAAGTGCAGTTGGCTCGTTATCCACCCGTAACAATTACAAATTATATCATCTTCAGAAATGACTAGACTGCATAAAAGAAGTATGGAAAATGATAAGCAACAGTATAAGAACAGGAGGTAAACTATCTCCAGGGGGAAAAAATCCAAAGATAGCCACCTTTTCAAGTCGAACTTGGCCATCTGCAGATGGCAAGGAAGACTGCCCAGTTAATGTCACAGTGACAAATCTGCAAGGAAGAATTATTGATTTTACACAAAGGATAAGCTATATAAATGCAAAATAAACTACGGGAATACAATCCTTGGTAATAACAAAGGTTGGTAGATTTTACATTCATTAGACAAAAATGAACAGAATAAACTTCCAATAAGAATGTTGAAGTACAAAATATGGTGGCAAAATACTCTCCAGTTTGAGTTTATTAGTCATAATTTTGAAATATAACACAAGAAATTGGTAAACAATGAGCACATTGAATTGATGAACACAGTATTAAACATGAAAGATAAAAAAACAAGTGTGGTTGAGAAAATTAAACTGAAGGTACAGTAAGGTCATGGGAGGTGCAAAGTCCTGCAGCTCACTAACCCATAACCAAGCTAGCAATATAACCAGGTTATGGTAGTAGCTACATGCAGGGACACATCGCTTACGTATTTGTCCTTATCAGACAGTAAGTGCAATGAACATGACAAGAATGTCAGTGTCATGTTTCTCGTATCAGTGCCCATGCAAACAAAGGGGGTGGTTTGAGTAAGCCACTAAAACCTTTACCATTGTCCACACCGGACAAATGGCTCATTGCAGGAGAGGTGATGCACCTTCCTACCTCAAGAGTTGACTAAGATGATGTAGCAAAAAATGATGTCATAACGGTTCTTTGCAAGAATTAGTAATGTGTATGCAGGATGATCTGCAACAGCCACAACTGCTCAGGAACCCTTGAACTATTACTGCATGACCACTGTCATGCAAAGATGTTCTGTAAACCACTATCATTGCTGCCTTGCAGTAAATCCCCTGGGCTCTGACAAACAATAAACTCACATGCCATGCAAAGTATTTTAATGTATTATGTCAAGATCATAATGAATATGACCCGCAATCAGTTACCTTTTCTTGCCAGAACCTTGACACCCGCTCTTCAATTGATAAATAGATGCAAGGCGTTGTACCTACAGAGGTAAACCAGTACTCAGAGCATATACGCCATACAAACAGGAATGAAAATGTATAACAAATAAATAAATCTGTATATATAGAATTAGTATGGCTAGCATACCGGTGTATCTCTTGTCCTTTACCAAGTTCCCAAAATGGGCTATTAGGCTCATCAAAGCTAACTGTCTCTGGGATGATAGTGAGTAGACATAAGCTGGGATAGTGTTAGTATGGTGGTTTGGGTATTCCCTAATTTGAGGGAGTTAAACCATGCGTCTCCTAGGGTCCTGGATCAAAAGATACCAGTTGGACAGTAACAAGCTTTGGAAATGCTTATATTGATCACAAGTATAATACTGACAGGCCTAATATCTTCTATAGCTCAACAGTAGGAGCTAATCAATTTTTTAAGGGGATATGATCTGAGCTGCTACAGCAGCGAAACTAGACTACAAATGGGTCATAGGAAATGGTAGGGAAGTTAAATTTGGGAGGACAACTGGACAGGAACCTCAAGCTTAGCTATTGAATGCGCATTTGGTTTTCTGGCCTGCTCAGCTTGCCTCGCCTCGCTCGGCAAGGCTAGCCTTGCCAGCAGCAGAGAGCTGTTCTGGCTCACCCAAGCTTGCAACAGAAATCATTGTCAGCGTGAAAATTGAGGGAACAAGCAAACCAACCAGACGCAAAGTTTTTTGCCTAGCCTGGCAAAGCAAGCAGTGGCAAAAGATCCAAACCAATGTTATTAAGGCATCGCTTTGTCGTTGCCTAAGCGCCAAGGCACTCCACATGGGACGATAGAGCAAACGACTCGCCTTAGATTTGTATGGCGTCCGCCTTACGACTATGGCGTCCAGAAAGCGTCGCTTTGGCGTCCGATTCGTGCCAGATTGGGCAAGGCGGGCGACACATGGGGATGCTTTATTCAGGGCGTCGGGAAAACATGGGAGCGTGGGAGAAAGGACGGGAAAAGAGCAGGCGCATGGGAAAGCCAGTCGCGTGCAGAGATAGAGGAGCGCGCGGGAGAATTAGGTGTGCGTAGAGAGATGAGCGCGGGAGAATTAGGCGCGCGTAGAGACAGGAGCGCGCGGGAGAAATCAGAGCGCAGAGAGTGGAGCACTCGCGGGGAAGACGGACCTACCTGCTTGCCCGCGCGAACGCGTTCTCCAGTGCTTCCGGGAGAAGCTGCTGCCGCCGAGCCTCCACCTCCGCCTCCGCCTCCGCCTCAAAAAGCCTCTGCCTCCACCTCAAGAAGAGCCTCCGCCTCCGCCTCCCCTCTTCCCCATCCGGGTGAGGGGCAACACCGACGGGCTGCGGTTTCCCCGCCGCCTCCTCTGATCCTCCATCAAGTAGGACCCGAGCCGCCTCCTCCAATCTTCCCTCAAGCAGGACAGCATCCCTCCCTTGAGCCAGGTAATTACTCTGCTCTGTATTTTTCTACTTGCCTGTAGCCTCTTCTCTTGAGCAGGACAGCAGCATGCCGATTTGTTTATATTTGCTTTGCTTAGTGCTTAGTGCTTAGTGCTTAGTGCTTGGTGCTCAGTGCTTAGCCTCTTCTGGATGGCAGTTTGTTTTTTATATTCCAACCTGAGCCCTATTTAACTATGTGTCCACTGTCCAGTTGTCCATTAGTGATTACTGTTAATTAATAGTTACTTAGCTTGTCGTGTTTCACAGGAGTCCATCTAAATGGCAACACAAGGCACTGCAAGTCCACAGAGTGTAGGCTCAGATACTGCTGAATATGATCCAAGGACAGATCCGAAAAGGAAGGCTAAGTCTAGTGATCCTGGGTGGAAGTATGGCTTCTGGCCAGAAATTGGCAACAGAGATCTGGTTGAGTGTAGCCTTTGTGGAGGGAGAGTAAATTCTGGAATCAAGAGACTGAAGGAGCATCTTGTAGGTGGATATGGAGATGCTGTCAAATGTCCTAAGACAACAACAGCAATTGCTGCTGAAATGGAAGCAGCACTAGTTAAGGGAAGAAGAAAGAGAGCACTAAACCTAGATGATGACAATGATGGCGTTCAAGTGGTGGAAGTGGTACCAACTGAGAACCAGGTTCAAAACATTGCTAATGCTTCGTCTCCGTCATCTGGTACTAGTGTGGTGCAGCATCCAAGTTCAGGGACAGCATCCAAAAAGAAGCAATCTGCTCTCAAATTTGCATCTCTACCACCTAGACCAGAAGAGAAGTCAGTGATTACCATGCTTTGGAAAACACCTGAAGAAGTGGTTGAGGAAAGGCATTCTAAGAATGGACCTGCACAAAGCAGTGTGGAGGGAAGGATCAGGACCAAGGAAGAAAGAGATGAAGTCAACATGCATGTGGCCAATTTCTTCTCTGAGTGTGGAATACCATTCAATGCTATCAACTCAAGGAGCTTTGAGATTATGTGTGAGGCCATTGGACAGTATGGACCTGGATATAAACCTCCTAGCTTCCATGAGGTGAGGGTGCCATTGCTTGGAAAGGCTGTGGAACAGACCAACAAACTAAAGGAGAAGCATGAGGCTGCTTGGAAGCAATATGGCTGTACACTCATGTCAGATGGGTGGACAGATAGGCGGGGCCGTCACCTCATTAATTTCCTAGTCTATTCCAGAGGGGACTTTCTTCTTGGACGTTGATGAATCAAGTAAAGTACATGATGCACCAATGTTGGCAGATTTACTACAGCAGAGAATTGATCTCATTGGAAGAGACAAGGTCGTTCAATTGGTCACTGACAATGGTGCTAACTATAAGGCAGCTTGCAAGCTTCTTATGGAAAGAATTCCAACACTGTTTTGGACCCCATGTGCTGCACATTGCTTGGACCTTATGCTAGAGGACATTGGCAAAATGAAGCAGTTTAGCAAGCCTATTGCACATGCAAGACAAGTAACCTTTATTTATAGGCACAGGAGGCTGAGGGAGAAGACAGGAGGTAGAGATCTTTTTAGACCAGGAGTAACTCGTTTTGCTACTGCTTTCCTCACTTTGCGCAGCCTGCACACTCACAAGGATGCTCTGAAATTCCTATTTGTAAGTGATGACTGGACTAAGTCCAAATTGGCAACTACAGAAGTAGGAAAGAAAGTGCATGACACCATCCTTTCAACCAAATTTTGGAATTCACACCAGGTCGTGGGTTCGAAGCAGCCTCTCCACAGATTTTGCGGGGGAAAGGCTTGTCTCGGTTTATATCCTTTCCTAGACCCCACTCATGTGGGAGCCTCCGACACTGGGTCTGCCCTTTTTTTTAGTTGAGGACTGCCTGAGAGCTTCACAGCCCCTTATTGTTTTGTTGAGGATAGTTGATGGGGATGAGAGGCTAGCAATGCCAGAGGTATCATTTTGTATGGAATATGCAAAGAAAAAGATTAAAGACAATTTCCCTACTAGTCGAAAGGCAGACTTAAGGGCGTACCCAGTGCAGAGAGCTCCTGCTCTGTGCGGGGTCTGGGGAAGGGTGTCAGTGGCAAGCCTTACCCTCGCCTGTGCAATGCGAGGAGACCGCGACTCGAACCCGGGACCTTCCGCTCACAGGATAGTCGAAAGGCAGACTTGCTTAAGCAAATCTTGGCAATCATTGACCGGCATTGGGAAGATCAAATGGACCAACCACTATATGGGGCAGCACTATATTTGAACCCAAACAAGTATTTTGACCTGAAAACAGATGATGCTTTGGCTGGTAAGCTAAGGTCTGCATTTACTAAGGTTCTTGCAAAAATGGTGCCTGACCAGGATCTACAAAACAAGATTGATGACCATGCTTTGGACTATGAGGAGGGGGTAGCTTCAGCAAAAAAATTGCAATGAACAACATCAAAACCAAGTCTCCTAGTAAGTTCTTCACAGACTATACAACCTGAATTTTTAGTCTTTCCTAATTTCTAACATGAAAATGTTTTTTTGGTCACTTGATCTAGTTGAATGGTAGCGTTCATATGGTGGCAAAGCCGTAGAGCTTGCAAAATGTGTTGTTGGGCTTTGTGCTTCGTCTTCAGGTTGTGAGCGCTGTTGGAACACATTTGAGTCTAAGTAATTTGTCAATTACTCAATTAGCCCAGTTCAAGAAATAAATAAAATCTATTACCTACTAATGCTTGCTGAAAATTTCTTTTGTTTGCATTTTTACAATTGCAGATTCATACTAAGAAAAGAAACAGGTTAGAAGCGTAAGAGGCTTAATGATTTGGTCTATGTTCAGTACAACCGAAGGATGGCAGTGAGGTTCCAAAAGGACATGAGAAAGGAGCAGGCAGCTTTGATCCTTTGTGTTTGGAAGACTTTGATTGGAACAATGAATGGGTTGATGTGGATGCCGAACCAGTCCACGATGGCCGTGGACTTGAAATTACATGGGAACAAGTTGATGAGGCCGTTGGTGCATCCCAAATGTATCGTGGTCGCAATTTCCCTAGGGCAGCCCGCGGCGATGCGACTAATATTGATAGAACCTATAATTGGAGGCGGTCTGCAGCAGCTACTGCTCCAATTAGGAGGACTGATGAACCCGCAGGAGGCTGAAGACATGGAAGATGATAACTCTAATGAAGAATATGTGGTTGATGACTATGGTGAAATTGCACCTATTGTTGCTCATGAAAGTGATCAAGCTGCTGGTGGTGGTGACAATTCAGATCCTTTTGTGATAGAGGATGACTTCTATTGACTTAATGATGCTTGAGAGTAGTGAGAGTATTTGTTGCAGACTATTTATGCACTAGTATTGTAGTATTGTGGAATGTGCTCACTAAGCACTCCAGTTTATCTTATTTAGTGGACTATCTGTTGAACTACTTGTGTAATGGTTTTATTTGTGGCAGTGTGCTTATCGACTTGTTAATCTTTACCTGTCCCTCAACTAATTTCTATTTTTTCTGGTGCCATATTCCCTGTGAAATATCTAGCTACTAACATGAATTGGCTCTCCATTGCAGTGTTGTTGGATATTTGGATGCACACTGGGGACTGTGGGCTGCACAGGAGAAGACAACACCAAGGTATGGCATGCTTCTATACTACTTTTACTACTGTAGGATGGCCGTAAGGCATCGCCTCGCCTTACGCCTACTATAGGATGGCCATAAGGCGTCGCCTCGCCTTACGCCTTACTCACTTAGGCGTACACGCCCTCAGTATTGGGAAGTCAATATTCTGGTTAATGAGAAGTGTAAAACAGTAGCAGAGTGAACGGGTTTGTAGCCTAGTTGGTCAAAGGAGCCTTAGTAGCACCTAAGATCCTAGGTTCGACTCCACATTGGAGCGAATTTAAAAAAGCCTAGGTTAAAAAACACCCCTCGTCGGCTGTGTTCCTAAGTTACACATGTAACCACATCAGTTGCTTTCAGTGATATGCACATGGCCACAATCATGTGTCTGGCTTTTTAACTGTAGTGGTATGTACTACTCTAGTGCTTGGAGATTGAGTGACTGACACCTAGGCCCCACTAACGACAGTGGCAAACAATGGGTAACGTCTGGTTCATCCTCATTGTCTAACCCATGAACCAAACAAGAAACAGGGACACGCAACCGTCCCCTCAACCAAACAGAGATATGGAACATCCCGTCTCTCAAAACTAGAATGAACCCATCCTGTCTCTCCTAGTCCCTAAACCAAAAAGGGCGTACCAGTGCAAAGAGCTCCCGCTCTGTGCGGGGTCTGGGGAAGGGTGTCAGTGGCAAGCCTTACCCTCGCCTGTGCAATGTGAGGAGACCGCGACTCGAACCCGGGACCTTCCGGTCACAGGCGGTAAGACTCTACCGCTTGCACCAGGCCCGCCTTTCCTAGTCCCTAAACCAAACGCAACCTTAAGGTGGCCCAGAGTTCAGGTTTTCCTTTGGCTCCTTTCGAAGAATAAACTTTTAACTAAAGACAATCTAAATAAGAGAAGATAAGTTGAGAACCTTACTTGCGTCTTCTATTGTTAGGAGTCTGTCCATCACCTCTTTTTTGGTTGTGTAGTAGCCCAACAAGTCTGGAGTTTCATCTCTTTAATTTTCAATATGTATTGCAGTAAAGCTTTTCTGTCTGTTGGACAGTTATGGCTGAGTAATAAGAAACAGTATGTTTTCAATATATTTAGCTTTGCTGACTTGTGGGGGGTTGTGAAAACTAAGAAATGTTGTGTGTTTTCAGATCTTAAGGTGGAAGGATGTGAAGTCAGTGCTGCTGTGAATTGTGTGCTTGCTTCAAGGCTGGTAAGTGTTTTGCCTGACCAAGCGACAATAGTAGTACTCCCAAAAAGCTGCAAGAGTTGAAGCACTGGGCTCTCTGTCCATCAAGACTATATGGCTACGAGAAGGCCAAGAACTGGAACAACTCTGACATTCCTGCTGACACAATCTTCTCTAGGAAGTGGCTGGACATCAATGTTTTTAAGGCGTCGCTTTGGCGTCGCCTAATCGGCAAGGCGCTACCGGGACGACTTGGCGGACGACTCGCCTCAGATTGGTATGGCGTCCGCCTTACTATTATGACGTCCGGAAGTCGTCGATTTGGCGTCCGATTCGTCGAAATCGAGCAAGGTGGGCGCCATACGGGGATGGCCACGGTAGGAAAACGCGGGCGCAGGAGAAAGGACGGGGAAAGTGCAGGCGCGCGGGAGATTAGGCGCGCGGGGAGAGAGGAGCGCAGGAGAAATCAGAGAGCAGAGAGAGGAGCGCTCGCAGGAAGACGACCTACACCTGCCGCCATGCTGAACACGTTTCGCCATGCCCGCCCGGAGAGAAGCCGCCGCCGCCGAGGCTCCGCCTCCCCTCCCTGTTCCCCATCCATCCGCTGAGGAGCAAGCGCCCGGCGGACTCTGCTTCCCCCGCCTCCTCTGGTGAACACCGAGCAGGAGCAGGACCCAAGCCGCCTCCTCCAGTCTTCCGTCAAGCAGGGGCAGGACCCGAGCCGCCGCCTCCAGTCTTCCCTCGAGCAGGAGCAGGACCCGAGCCGCCGCCTCTAGTCTTCCCTCGAGCCAGGTACTCTGCTCCTGCTCTGTATTGTTGGATGCACACTTGGGGCTGCGGGCTGCACAGGAGAGGACAACACCAAGGTATGACATGCTTCCAGTTCTCTAGTCTATACTACTGTTGGATGACCGTAAGGCGTCGCCTCGCCTTACGCCTTACTCGCTTTAGCGTAAGGCGGTAGTTGGTCGCCTCGCCTCGCTTTACCGCCTTAAAAACCTTGCTGGACATGACCAAGATTTGTCTCGAGAACTCAGTGTGATAGTCATGGGTTGTTTTTTGATGTTTGCTTGACTGGGATGCCTCAAAATCCAAATGTGTAAACCATTATGGGTCTTTAGTCTGCTATAAGACTGGGGTCGTTTCCCTAAAACTCTAAAAAAAATTGTACTTTTCAAAAAATTTCAAATGCATGATTAACCTGAACTGACATTATTGACAGGCTAGTCGCATAACTTTCATTGTTATCTCTGTTCTGAATTTTAATGTTTATCACTTAATATATAGAGCATGCACGAGAATTGAGTTCAATATTTAATTAAAAAGAGGTCATAGTAACAAACTGCCTGGGGGTTTCGAATATGGTAGTAGGAACCAGGAGGGAGAGGAAGTCTTAGACTTCGCTAAAGCTTTTGATCTGATGATAGCTAACACTTTCTTCCGTAAGAGACCATCCCATTTAGTGACATTTAGTAGCGTCCAGTACTCTAGTCAAATCGACTTTGTCCTTACAAGGCGGGATAAACGAACATGCGTGGACTGTAAGGTGATACCTGAAAAATGTGTGGTCGCTCAACACAAGCTGGTGGTGGCTGACTTCCGCTTTCTGGTGCAAGCTCGTGGGAACAAACAAGCTAGGGTTGCTAGAACGAAATGGTGGAAATTAGAAGGGGAGGCATCAAAGGTCTTTAAGGAAAAAGTCATTGAAGAGGGCGCTTGGAATGATGAAGGCGATGCAAACAGCATGTGGGAGAGGATGGCAACATGCGTTCGGAAGGTTGCTTCAGAGGTGCTTGGAGTGACCAAAGGGAGCGGATGCAACTCGAAAGACACTTGGTGGTGGACTGAAGATGTGCAAAAGGCTATTAAAGAAAAGGAGTGCTATAAGCGCTTGTATCATGACAGGTGTGCAAACAACATAGAGAAGTACAAGGTGGCAAAGAAGACTGCAAAACGAGCAGTGTGTGAGGCAAAGGGGCGGGCCTATGAGAACCTTTACCAACGTTTGAGTACGAAGGAGAAAAGAATATTTATAGGATGGCTAGGACTCACGATAGGAAGACAAGGGACTTCAACCAAGTCAAGTGTATAAAGGATGAGAGGGAGCAGCTCTTGGTGAAGGAGGATGAGATCAGACATAGATGGAAAGAGTATTTTGATAAATTGTTCAATGGTGAGAACGAGAACACCACCGTTCAACTGGACGACTCGTTTGATGACACTAACAGACGCTTTGTGCGGAGGATTCAAGAATCGGAGGTCAGAGAATCCTTGAAAAGGATGAAAGGGGGCAAAGCGATGAGCCCTGATGGTATCCCAATCAAGGTGTGGAGATGTCTCGGGGATATAGCTATAGTATGGCTAACCAAGATGTTCAACAATATCTTTCGATCGAAGAAGATGCCTGAGAAGTGGAGAAGAAGCATATTGGTATCAATCTACAAGAACAAGGAAGATATCCAAAGTTGTACTAATTATCGGGGAATTAAGTTGATGAGCCACACTATGAAGTTATGGGAGAGAGTCATCGATCAGCGCCTGCGAGGAACGACGCAGATATCAACAAACCAATTAGGTTTCATGCCCGGAAGGTCAACCACACAAGCAATTTTCTTAATAAGACAGGTTATGGAGCGGTTTAGAGAGCAGAAGAAGGACCTCCACTTGGTTTTCATCGACTTAGAGAAGGCTTATGACAAGATACCAAGAAATGTTATGTGGTGGTTTTTGGACAAACATAAAGTCCCATCAAAGTACGTGACCCTCATCAAGGACATGTACAACAATATTGTGACTAGTGTTCGAATAAACGATGATAACATAGATTACTTCCCGATTCAAATTGGACTTCATCAAGGGTCAGCCTTAAGCCCATATCTCTTTGCCTTGATAATGGATGAAGTTACCAGGAACATACAAGGGGATATCCCTCGATGTATGTTGTTCGCTGATGATGTAGTGTTAGTGGACGAAAGCCAGGCGAGAGTAAATAAGAAACTAGAGTTATAGCAGAAGACCCTTGAGTCTAAAGGTTTTAGATTAAGCAGAACTAAAACCGAATACATGAGATGCGACTTTGGCGGAGTTGTACAAGAGGAGGGAGATGTGAGTTTGAAAGGTTAAGTAGTGCCTAAGAAGAATACCTTTCGGTATCTGGGATCGATGCTACAGAGGGATGGAGATATTGATGCGGACGTTAGCCATAAAATCAAAGCAGGGTGGATCAAGTGGCGACAAGCTTCTGGCATTCTCTATGACAAGAGGGTACCACAAAAGCTAAAAAACAAGTTCTATAGAACGACGATTAGACCGGTTATGTTGTATGGAGCAGAATATTGGCCTACAAAGATTCAACATGTTCAACAACTGAGTGTTGCAGAAATGCGTATGTTGCGATGGATTTGCGGTCACACAAGAATGGACCGAAATTAACATGGGGAGGCAATAAAAAGAAATTTGAAAGCTTGGGATATACCTAGAGATCTATGTTTGAATAGAAGTACTTGAAAAACAGCTATTGAAGTGCCTGAACCGTGACTTGGGGTTCTTGGTGGGTTTCAACTCTACCCTACCCCAACTTGCTTGGGACTGAAAGGCTATGTTGTTGTTGTTGTTGTTGTATAGTAACAAACCGCCTCAACAAGCTCCACAAAAATTATTGGATGAACACACATTCATACCTGAGAACAGTCTCGAGAGTGCATTGGATGAAAACATAACATATCAACCTGATCCACAACCATTTTCTTCAATTTCTGCCAACAGGAAAAGCATGATACACATCAAAAAAGCTTTTATGAATTATTATTTTTTTTAAAAAGAACAGCTAAGAGTATATATCGCTAAAACAGACAGAGGTAACCATTAACCACATTTCATGAAATAAAATAAAATGCCCAAAGGAAACAAATGCTAATATGGGCTGTATCCAAACAACTGAGGCAACATGATACCATAAAAAATCACACTTACATAATTTCTTCGCAACACAAATATTTCAAAAAAATAAACTAAAAAAAAAAAATGTAAATGCAAAGTAAAAAACTTGAGGATACAAAAGGTGAACAATTGATAAGAATAAAAAAGGATTAAATCAAAATCTTAAGATTCAATATTGCAATTTATTGCTTTCCCAGAATTTACTAAAGAACATGCCCACATCTTTGGACCAAAGCTCAGTTCAAGTAAAGTAGTGACTCACAGTATTAATTTGCCCTAAGTCAACTCCTCTGCTTAGCATTCGTTGTTGACGCTTCTTTGCAATGAGTTCCTTCCTATGCTGCTTCTTTTCACCTGAATCACATAATAAGCTATGTTTACAACCTCAACAAAGAGAAAACGCAAGCAAAATGAAAAGAAAGCAAGTCACTAGGAGACATATTAGTATAACTATAATGGTACAGAAGACAATGAAGAAGGCAATTTATGAAACAATCTCGAAGGAATGAGAAAAGGAACTGTCAAGTCCTCATGGCAGATGGCACATTTGGTTTCAATGCCAGCCTTTCCCTAACCTCGCTTGTGTTACGTACCTTGGGGATCTGAGAGCATAGCCACAAAATGCAAGCAAAATGAAAAGAAAGCAAGTCACTAGGAGACATATTAGTATAACTATAATGGTACAGAAGACAATGAAGAAGGCAATTTATGAAACAATCTCGAAGGAATGAGAAAAGGAACTGTCAAGTCCTCATGGCAGATGGCACATTTGGTTTCAATGCCAGCCTTTGCCTAACCTATATTGTGTTACGTACCTTGGGGATCTGAGAGCATAGCCACAAACTGCAAGCAAAATGAAAAGAAAGCAAGTCACTAGGAGACATATTAGTATAACTATAATGGTACAGAAGACAATGAAGAAGGCAATTTATGAAACAATCTCGAAGGAATGAGAAAAGGAACTGTCAAGTCCTCATGCCAGAAGTGGAGATTAGTATATATAGAGAGCTAGAGAGCCTCATGGGCCGGGCCATAGGCCTATAATATAAGAGCCTTCATACAGTTAACACCCCCCCTTCAAACTCAAGGTGGAAGCGAAGGATTGGAAGCATTGAGTTTGATCAAGTGAAGTCGATGTTGCTCTCGAGTTTGTGCTTTAGTGAAAAAGTCGGCCAATTGCAACTCTGAAGGCACATAATGGAGAGAAATAGTTCCTCAGACATAGCTAGCTGCCATTCTGGAATACGAGAAGCTTCCTGATAAGTGGATGGCTCATCAACAATAGCATTGACATGAGAAAAACCATACTTGTCTGCAGGATGAATAGAGCTGAGATCTCGAAGATTATATCGTGGACCAACCTATAACTCATCAGAAACAATAGATGACTCATCAATAGTATTATTATTAGAATCATCAACAGCGGGCTCGTCAGGACTGGCCAAGGTGGTAGAACTAGAAGGAAGCTGGGTGGGGTTTTTAGGACGACGGCTGAAAACACATGTGATTGGTGGTTTAGAAAAAGATTGAGGTGGAGGTAGAGTTGTTGCAGGAGGTAAAGGTGGCGTCATGGAAATAGGAGCAGAAGGTGTGAAAGCGTCATCGCCAGATGAAAATGGAGGAAGACACAAAAAGGAGGTGGACTCTATGGGGGAATACGAGGGCTTGGTGGATGGGTTATAAAAGAAAGGACGGTCCTCAACAAAATTAACATCATGAGAGATGCGTATGCGACGGGAAGAAGGGTCATAGCATCGATAACCCTTATGCTCAGGACTATACCCCAGAAAAACACACTCAACAAACTGTGCAGTCAATTTAGTGCGCTCATGAGGGGCAAGCAAAACATAGCATGTGCATCCAAAAACGCGAAGATGGTCATAGCTAGGAGTACCATAAAGTACTTCACCAGGGCATCGGTCAGACAGCTTGGATGAGGGTTGCCTATTGATGAGGTAGACAGCAGTGGAAACAGCTTCACCCCAAAAATGAGAAGTGACAAAAGATGAAATCAGAAGGGTGAGAGCTGTCTCTATGAGATGGCGATGTTTTCGTTCAGCAACGCCATTCTGAGCATGAGCACCTGGACAAGAGAGGTGTGCAAAGGTACCCTCAGAGGACAAAAAGTGGCGGAAAGCAGCAGACAAATATTCACCCCCAGAGTCAGAACGAAGAATTTTAATGGGGGTAGAAAATTGTGTGAACCATTCGAACAAAAGACTGATAAATGGAACGCAACTGCGAACGATGTTTCATTAAATAAATCCACGTATAACGAGAATAATCATCAATAAAAATGACATAATATTTGTGGCCACCCTTTGTAGCAAAAGGTGCAGGACCCCCCATACATCTAAATGAATAAGATCAAATGGTCTAGCAGAATGAGAAACACCAGAAGAATAAGGAAGTTGTATTTGTTTGCCAAGTTTACAACCCTTATAATGAAAGCTAGACTCAATAGATGCATGACCTAAACAACCTTTATTTATCATGGAGGGCAAACGAGACCCACAAAGATGACCAAGACGATGATGCCACTTGGCGAAGGAGGCTGAAGACAATGCAGCGGATGAGGCATGAGCTGTAGATGCAACAGATGAAGGAAGCCGTAGAGTGTCTAGAACATAGAGGCTGGAAGCACCTTTACGGCGATGGCCAGTCCCAATCACTTTCCCGCTGCGACGGTCCTGAATAAAACAAGCTGAGTCATCAAAACCAACAAAACAATTCTGGTCGGTAACTTGACCAACCGACAAAAGATTCATAGACAACTGAGGTACAAAAGAAATATTGGGTACAGAAAAATAATTATTGCAAAGTGAACCCTGATGAGTGATATGACAAGTACCATCAGCTGTCTGAATAGATGCGCCATCAGGGACCGGCTTGCAGGCAACCAGCTGGGACTGATCGGATGTCACATGAAAGGAGGCTCCACAATCAAGCACCCAAGACGAAGGAGCACTGACAGTTGAGGAAGCAGCAACAGAAACGGTTCCAACAGAACCTGAACCTCAAGGAGTGGACGAAGTACCACGACCACGAGCAGCACGACAGGCACGAAATTCAGCCAACTTCTCTAGATGCTTAGCAAAAAGTTATCTGAACTATGATTAGTCCTGCCATAATGCTTACAGGGTTCTTTGAATGCACTGGTCCTCTGAGAAGCTACCAACACACTGTGAGGGTGAGACATAGAAGAAGACAAAGCCTGAAGACGTCTCTCTTCTGCAAGTAAGTCAGACAATGCCTTTGCCATGGACAGGGTAGAGGAAGAATGAAGCAACCTTGTACGAATAGAATCAAACTCTGCCCTGACTCCCATGACAAATCTGTAAGTAAGAAATTGCTCAATAAATGAAAGTGTTGTACAATTCTGACCTGCTGTACACTGGGGTACCATGGATACCAAAGAACCCATTAAACGATCAAAATCAGAATAGTACTCATCAATGGACATGTCTCTCTGTTCAAAACATGAAGCTGCTGCATAAGAGTATGTTGAAGGGCACCACTTTTCTGAACATAGCAGTCCTTCAAATAAGACCACATAGGTTTGGCTTGCTTAAACTTGAGCAGACTCATAATCATGGTTTGCTTAACACTGTTAAGCATAGCAGCCATTACTTCCCCATTATTGATTTCCCAGGTTTTGACAGCAGACTTAAGAGTTGGTAGATCATCAGTCAAATGAAAATAAAGACCATGACCCCTCAATGCAGTTTCAATGGTAAAAGCCCACTCTAAATAGTTCTGGCCATCCAGTGTGATGTTGATGACAATAGCAGAAATCTGAGAGACTGAGACATGATGGACTCTACTGGAGAATAGCAGTAAAAGGCAAAGAAGTGGCAGGGATATCACCACAACTGAGCACTCCGATCCTCGGAAGACAGGTAGCGGGCGTGGAGACAAGCAGCGAGAGTTCCACGCGTAGCACCGCGCGTGAAGAAGTCCACAGCCAGCGCGTGAAGTCGGCAGCCGTCGCGTGAAGAAGTCCGCCGCGGGATGGGAGGCCGCGCAGGATCGGATTGCGGGATGGAAGACCGCGCACGTGAGGATCGGATCACGTCCGAGCGTGAAGCCACACGCGTGAAGACCGCGCGTCCACCCGTGAAGACCGCGCGTCCACCCATGAAGTCGGCTCGGGCCACGTCCGCACGCGTCAAGTTCGCACAGGTCCGCTACCGCCCGCGAGACGAAGATTGCGGGCGACGGAAGACACCAGATAGCGCACGGCGACGGGCCGTACCAAGAGGAGGGAACGGCGCGACGACAGGCCGCACGATGAAAGACTGGCGCGACGACGGGCCACGCGGATCAGAGGAAAGCACGACGACAGATCGCGCGAAACAGAGGAAGGTTCCCAAGGGGGAAAAATGGATTCCAAGGGGAAAAAATTTTGGATCGTGGGTGAATTAGATCAGGCTAATCCTAACCCGAACCATGGCTTTGATTCCATGTTACGTACCTTGGGGATCTGAGAGCATAGCTACTCCAGAAGTGGAGATGAGTATATATAGAGAGCTAGAGAGCCTCATGGGCCGGGCCATAGGCCTATAATATAAGAGCCTTTATACAGTTAACAGCTTGGACAGGCGGGCCTTGCCTAACCTAGCTTGGATAGGCGGGCCTTGTCTAACCTCGCTTGGATAGGAAGCCTTGCCCTGCCTATGGTGGCGGCTGATTCCACTCGCTTGCTTCAGCAAGGAAAAACTTGCTTGGTCGGGGCCCAGGGCAACGCGGCAAGGAAATGTGTATTTTTCTCTGACTTTTGGCTGAGCAAGGCCAGGCAAGGCTTGCCGATGGAAACAACGCACCCTCAAATCTTAACTTTAATAAGAACTTTTCAATCCATTGCATCTACATATAAATCAATAAATCACAAAGTGAAAAGCTCAGCTAATTTATTGTATCTACAGACATACTAGAATCACTAGTGATGACCAATGTTCCACAAGTAAAGCGATACAGATTGTCTTCCATAATTTCTCCAAAAAAAGCAACATGAGGAATTGTGTTCCAATTCTAAAACAACAAATCTCTCCATTTATAGCAATAATATCAAACTGTCAATGTCATCACTCTTCAACCGTGAGAAAGCAAGTGACCAACCGATGATAGTTTTATGAGATTGATTAGAAGATCCTAACTTTGGATTGACTGGGTGCTAATATACTCTTATTCTCGAGTACACTGCGTCTATGAATGCAAGCACAGTGCATCTGGTAAGGTCTCTATCAGGTTAGCACATTATCCGAGACATCCAGATTCTCGTTTTCCAAAATTTAACAAACTTACCACAGAAAGCAAAGAAAAACACAGAGCAAGAAATGGAGAACCTAATACCTGGCCTGCTCTGATACTTTTTGCTCTTCCTACCCTCGTTAGGCCAGGACCGTGAGAGCGGAGAGGATGATGATCCTGTCTTCGACCCCTTCCTTGACCTGTTTGGCATCCAGACATTGTTCTCCTCCAGGCCCATCACTTGCATGCTTGGCAAATCGCTGTTACAAACCATTCCTTTTCCCTTCCGCTTCTCAACTGAATTCGGCCTCTTCATGCCATACTGTTCGGATGCAGTCATTAGTGCATAACCCTCAAGCTTTTCCTTCCCTTTCTTCACAAACCGATCATTATCATCATCGTCATCTGTATATATCTGCTCTACAGTATCTGCATCACCCAAATTCATACCAGTGATCCACTTAGTGCTCAACAGCTCGTCACTCCCACCGATCCCCTCCATGTAATCAGCAACAACCTCATTGTCAACTGAAGAAGAATCACCGAAGATCAAATCTTCATCTGATTCCGATCCTGGTGACTCGCCGGCAGACACCGAATCTCTCTCCTCGCCTTCACTACCTTCCTCGTCACTGTCGCCATCATCATTCTCAAATCTCTCACCGTCACCTGATTTGGATTCTAAATCCTCATCAGAGCTGCTCATCCGATCCGATTCTGGCGATGAGATGTCCTCCGTGTAGATCCTGACTCCGCCAATCAACAAAAATCCCGGATTGGGCTTCACCTTCTGCTCCTGCTTCTGCTTGGGCGTGTTGAGGGAGACATCTTCCTCAGCCAGTCCCTTTAATTTGAGCTCCATCTCCTCGTGTCGTCCATCCCGGAATCCTAGCCCGAGATGCAGCTCTCTATCACCGGCCTCCTCCTCGTCCGCGCTCAGCCCAAGCCCGATCTCACCGAGCACGTCGGGGCCGTACGAGTACATCGAGACGGAAGCGGCTGGGTCCGCGCACGGGGCGGTGTCGATGGTCACCTCCAGTGCCTGCGCCTGACCACGCTCCGAATAAGCGGAGCAGGGGCGGAGGGAGGGATAGCTAAAGGGTACGGCGTGGGAGGACTCGCCATCGGAGCAGGCGCCGCCGCGCCGGGCGCCCCGCCCTCGGCCGCGGCCGCCCGAGGCGGGGGAGGAGAAGGCGGCGGCGACAAAGGCGGGGGAGACGAAAGACGGGAGCTCGGGGACCGGGCGACGACGGCCTGCGCCGGCGCTGCGGTGGGGCCCGCCGGCGGTGGGGTTGCGTGCGTGGCGGCGCTTGCCGCCGGCCATTGGTTGGGTGGCTAGGGTTGCGATATGCTCTAAATTCGAGCGTCAGGGCGCGTGACATGACCGACGCGAGCGGTTTATCGCATTTGTAGCCACTGGCCAGGTACGTAGGAGACGGTGCGGTAGGATTCGTAGCGGCCACGCCGCTTTTGGCTTGTTTGGTATATACTTCGTTCATTGCACGTGCGTTACAACAAGGGAGAAAGAAAAAAAAAAGTTCACAAGATATTTGATAGTAAAATTTTAAGAAGTCATGATCATAATATTTAAAATGGAAAATGGTGTTTTTATCTTGTCCAGAAATCCAATTGTGATTTTATCCCTATTTTTCAACGTTATGGTTTTACCCTCCTTATTTTGAAACGATGAAGTAGTTTGCCCCTGGTTTGAATGTCCGTTATTGAAGAACAGATTAAATGATTTTAAAAAAAGGACATAAATAAGATGCAAAATGACCAAAATGCTCTCATCTCCACCGGCGGCTTTTTACTTTCTCGGTTCCCGAAGACCGAACATCCGAACCCTAGGCAGGGCACGCAGCACTGTTAGGGGGTGTGGCTAGGCGCGCGCGGCGGCCTCGTGCAAAGCGGGCGTGGCTAGGTGGATCTTGTGCGCTTGAGCACGCCGCCTGCGAACACGGCAAGGGAAAAGGCGCGGCGCTTGGTGCGGGGCGGTCTAGCGGCACGGCATGGTGAGGGCGTGCGGTCCCGTTGTGGCGAGCCCTTAATCTTCATGCTCTGCCTGTCTGCAATTAGCTCAGTGAGCATCGAGCTTTGACCACCAACATTTCAAAGGATTTCTCCGCGTGATTCCCCCGCAACTCTTTTGAGCAGTACAGGAGTACTTCGAACGATGGGGCCTCGAAGGTTACAGCAAACTTGCTGTGCCGATGCATAGGGATTTAGTGCTGGTACTAGTGCTTAGTGAAAGAACCAGTGTGCTTTCCCGAAAATGAAATAGTCAAATGTCCTGAACGCACGGCCATGGGCGGCTAGCAATCTTTTCTTTTATCTTTACACCTACGATATCTACTAGTGGCAAACTGCAGCGCAGTTCTCCAAACAACTGCTGCTAACATGCTGTCAAAATACCGCTAAGATGCTGTCAGAATGTTACCAAATTTTTAAATATTATTTTTTTTCAATAATAAATCTGATTTGAAATGCTCGAGAATTGTGGCAAATAGATTCGACCAAATCTAACCATTTTTTAGCAAAATACAATATAAATGTCTTGTTCTAAATTAGAGTTGAAATCACAAATAGCCCTAAAAACCAGGGAAAAATCACATGGACATATTTGTCCTTTTATATAAAAGTTAACACCGTTAAGGGGAGGATGACATAATAGGGCAAAGTGGTAAATTCACAAAGTTAAAAAAAACAGGAGCAATACTGCAATTTTGATATAAAACAGGGGTACGAATGCAAGAGCCCCTATTTAAAATATCTTTATTAAATATATCTTTATATCCTCTAATAGCTTTTCTAATATTTGTCTATTGAAAAAACATGAATATAAGATATCTATATTTAAAATCCAATTAAAGAGGCTATTATAGGGTATTTTCACCAAAACCTCTGCTCCTATAATTGGCAACGATATAGAAAATCTCTTGAAGTTGCCCTAAAGACTTGTTTGATACACATAACTAGTTACTAGTCTCAACTACTAAAAAAGACTACTAACATAGAATCATCAACTGTTTTGTGTGCCCCTGCGCCCTGCTTCGTCGTGCCGAATTTTTTATTTTTTAATATTTTTTTCTAAATAATCACAATTATACTCATGGACTTCTTAAACTCGTCTTTGGATCGTAGGGTCGGCGCCCTGGCCTATGGCACCAAGTTAACACGTTTCGGCGTCACATGCCATGGCTCCAAACTTTGAGACTGAACTGTTGCTAGACTACGTGGTGCTGAGGTGGCAAAGCTCAACACCATGGATCTTAGTGCCGAGCTAGCGCGAGCTCAGCGCTAAGATCCATGACGTTGAGCTCTACCACTATACCTCGCCGAGCTCCTCTCTCTCCTAAGTTTTCGTCCTCGTTTGTATGACTGCCAGCCATCGCCACACCTCCTCTGCCCTGCTACTAGACGCCCTCCACGACACGCTCATCCTGTGTCTCCTAGCTAGCCGACGCATGCGTTGGTGCCATCCTCGGCCACGCTTGCAGCACTGCACGTGCCCACGGTCGCATGTCCCGTACCGCCCTCGACGTTGGCCGTGTTTCCTACGCCATTCGCGCCCGTCGTGCCGCCCACGCCCCCCGCTCCACCGCAGCGACCTTTCCCATGATGCTCGTTGATGGGGCTTGGGTTCTCAATCTTTCGTCAGGTGATGATAACTATCGTTTTGGTGGAGCATAACACACCGATCCCGCTTCAGATCAAAAGACCCAAACCCTACAATCTTAGCACCATGACTTCTCTAGTTATCAATCGTGTCACTAATCCGGTTGACCTCTCCAAGAAGGCTAATCCCTGCCTATGAAACGAAGAACACAAGCAAGAACTCAAAAGTATGCAGCTCAATGATGAAAGTGACGAGCTTCAGATATATGATTAAGTTCAAGAAAGTGGGGTTTCACAACCGAACATAGCGACTATTCGAAGACAAATTGTTCTAAAGCAAAAACCAAAACTTAACGATGGCGGCGGCGACAGATTATAAGGTCTAAGGGTCATCGCTCCCCCTAGACGTGCCCCCCTAATGGGCTCAAAGACGATACATAGCCCAACGGGCCAAACACGGTGACGCAGCACCCTGACAGATTCTAGACATTGACTTGCTTCGATGATTTCCGTTGACTTCGATGGAATTTGGACATCAAACTAAATCCATTAGTTAGCTTATGGAATTAGCTTTCAAACCACATGTGGATCGTCAAAAACGGAGTCTAGATGCATCCTGGGCATCTGTTTTATTGCAGATTGGTCCTGAAGGCTTAGGCAGACTCGAAATCGAGTTGGACTGGGCCTCCTGCTTGTGTTGGACGTCCTTGCTGGTCTTCTCTACCTCCACACCTTTCTCCAAGTACTTCATGACCCTCTCAATGTTTCTAAGCAAGATAACTGTTGGGGATTTTGACTTCATCATAAAACTTAGCCTCAGAACTTTGGAGTCATATTTGTAATTTTCATAACAGAGTTTGCCTGAGGAAAGTAAAAAAGCGAAGATGAAATTTTGACTTCACGCAAGAACATTCGGCTTTGCTACAAAAACAAGGAAGATTGGAACAACACTACTACAGATTGATATATCACTATCACCACTTTCACTGTCGTAGCGATAAAAGCGATTGTGTGATACTTCTACTGTTAGTTGGACCGATAGCGAGGCCTCCTAAGGAATGAAACCGGTATTTGAAAACCATCAATGCGGTGGTGGTAGTGGGGTTGAATTCCACCGTCGTTTGGAACGCCAAACCAACTGAGATACGTGTTATGGCCGACGGACCTACACGATCGTTTGGTATACCAACAGTAAATATTGAAGGCAAGTCAGTGAGAGTGTGTCCCAATGTCCAACTACCAACACCCCCCGCTGGCCCGCTCTACATATTCTTCAAGCCCGTTGCCCTCTAAAACCACTCCTCTTCCTTGTTCATCTCATTCTTCCATCAGACTAGAATCATGTCAGTGGACAGTTTTTTCAAGTTTCCCAGCTACAATTCATCCTCCGACGAGGACGAGGTCCAGCGGCCCTCATTGTCTGAGGAGGCCTCCAGGGAGTACATGGGTCCTGATTTGATTCCTGATAGAAGCTCCGACACCGAGGAGGAGGACAACGACAAGGAGGAGGACGACGATGATGACGAGGATGAGCCCTCGGACAATGACGATGACGAATGATGATGGGCCTCCTCCAAAGTGACCAAGGCGACCATCATCCTTGCTCTGAGAGGATTATTTTTAGGTGTATTATCTTTGTGGATGAGTACAACCATGTAATCATTGGAAATGTGTATATATATATTATAAAGTAATAAAGAAAAATTCTAGTCTAACCAATGCTTGTTTCTTTTGCTGTCATCGCTCTTAGTGTTATGTCATGTCGCTGGACCAATGTTTTTGGTGACCTATAAACTGATTTGTTCAAAATGCTTAGCAATAGAGCAAATTGATGATAATTTCGTTACAAATCTATAAACTTAGTCCCTGTTTGGATCCCTCTAGTTTTTGGCAGTTTTTAAGAATCTAGCTTTTGTAAACTGGGTGGGATCCAAATAGGCTAGTTTTTAAGAATTTGAAACTGGTCCAAACGGGGTCGTACGGAGCAGTGCTTGATAGGTCATGCTGCTCACACCTCCGTATGACCCCTATGCCTGATATAACGGCGTTTGGTGCGGTGTCCATTCTTTCCAATGCCAAAAGCCGGCGGTAAAGAGTATTTCCCCGTCGGACTACCTATCTAGGCGATGGTAAAGGCTGATTTCCACCGTCGGGTCGATGGCGTAGGCTGCCTTACTTTGAAGCCGTCCGCTTCCATAGCCATACCCAAAATGAATCCCATTGTTCCCATTTTCTCGACCATTGCTAGTTCCCCAATACTGTATTGAAGGTTGTGTCCGAATCGAAGCCGGCTCATCACTTAACTGATTCGAGGTCCGCAAAATTTTCTTCACAGATTCAATTACTTGATTCTTGCTATTGTGCTTATTACTGCATTATCAATGTTCTTACTCAACGGGACCTACGCATTCATTTTCAATTTCTTCATGCTATAAGTTCTGCCTTTGCTGTACACAGACGGATCGCGAATGGATGTATATGAATCAAAGTTCAGGTGCATTCATGCAAGGCCTTGACTCGTTTATCAATGTCGTGAGTGCTTACATGGAGTATAATATTGCGGCTCTTGGTTTCATAAACTGCCCATACAGGGATTGCAAAAATCTTCACTACTACAAATTTACTTTTCGTTGTCGCCACTTTCAATGCCGTAGCGATAAAAGCGTCGGTGTGATACTTCCACCATCGGGTGGACCGATAGGGAGGCCT